GATTGGATAAGAAAATTGTGGTACTTTTATATAATGGAATATGACTCAGCTATAAAGAAAGATAAATCGAAGCCTTTATAGGTAAATGGTCAAAACTAGAGACCATACTCATAAGTGAAATAAATCAGACCTGCACGTGCAAGCATTACATTGTTTCACTAGTGTAAAACCTGAAAGAGTTAATTTAAACTAGGAGATATGATAGACATTGTGAAATGATAAGAAAACACTCAAGGGCAAAGGGCAACTGGGATGTGGGAAAAGAGAAGGGAAAGAAGAAGAAATTTTGTATTTTTGTATGTAACACATACATACAAAAATTTTGTATTAACATAGTTGTTCTACTGTCTTCTATGTCTTTGCTGAAACTGTCAATGAGTCCTTAATTGATCAATACTGCATGTCTCTGTTTTCATGAGAAACCACTTTGAAGATATCAATATGTAATACAAGCATTGTTAATTCCCTACCACTTTCTTTGTAACTCTGTATTGTCTGTACTGTTCTTTTCCTAGTTTGTAAAAGGTTGTCTGTCTGTTAATGTTTTCCTCCTTTTATTTTTAAAATTAAAAAAAAGAAAAAGCAGACAAGGTGACCGAGTGTGTTTGTAGTTGTATCTGTATCTTCTAATCTGTTCCGTGGATCTTCAGGTCTGTTTTTGTGCAAAGGAATAATCTTTAGTCTCCTATTTTTTTTTAATCTAGGGGGAAAAAAGGAACCCATACAAATTTTAATAAATATTATGTCCTTACTCTTTAACATTTAAGGATCTATAAGGGGCTAGGGATTTAGCTCAGTGGCACAGCACCTGCCTGGCAAGCAGAAGCACGAGGTGGTGAGTTCAATTCCCGGTTCTGGGGAAAAAAAAAGATCTATAATAAAGTATAGCTTTTTAATGAAATATTTATTAAACATGATGGAACTTGAATTTAAATTCTGACATCAAGAAATAACTTAGTTCAATATGGTATCAGCATTTTTGGTTTAATTAAAATAGCTAGTCAAAATTTGGTTAATATATATTTTGTGTATCTGAAAAAACACATCCAATCATAGGTTCCAGGGAGTTTATATACCACATACTTAAGTTTTCATCAGATCATGTTTCACGTTCTTTTCTTTTTTTTTGTCATTTTTTTGAGACAGGGCCTCAGTATATAGTCCAGGTTGGCCTTGAACTCACTACGTAGCCTAGACTGGCCTCAAACTTGTGGTGATACTCCTGCCTCAGCCTTCCAAGTGCTGGGATTACAGGTGTGTGTTACCACACTCGGTTGTCTGTCACATTCTTGAATGTTTACAAAGAGGTAACAAAATGTAGATCAAAGGGCTGTATTTGGCTAACCTCCTAAAAAGGGATAAAACCCACAGCAGAATAAAAATAATGAAAAATATAAGCCTGTTATTTATATACCTCACGTACAGAGGAGTGCAGAGACCACTCCATGGTGTGCCAGTTTATTACATGTCAAACCCCCACTTTTCGATGGTAAAACCTAACTCCTTTGTTCTCATATATAGTAAAAAACCGAATATGGCATTAGGTTGTATCCCCTTTGGACATGCTCTCTGCGGATCACTTAATGTTAATAAATTTTAATCCAGTACTGGTACTGTGATAAGCTTGCACCTTCCAACCCGTCTCCAGGAAAGGGAGACAGACTGGACATCAAGTTAATAATTAATTATTTCTATATGAAGAGGCTTCCATAAACATCCCTGAAAGATGGATTTCAGAACTTCAGGCTGGTGAACATGTGCAGGGAGCTGCGTCCAGGGACAATGGAAAGCCTAAGCCTCCCCCAAGTACCTCCCATTATGGTGTCTTTGGAAATGCCCTTTATAATGAACAGGTAATTTTTGTTCATTCTGTGAGCTATCCTAACAAATTACTGAGCCCAAGCAAGGGGGTTGTACATACCCCAATTTAGAGCAAATCCATCAGAAGCTCACACCTGGGACTTGGAATTATACCTAAGTAGGGAGATTTGGAGAACAGAGTTCTTCCCCTGTAGGATCAGAATCCAATGCCAGATAAATAGGGTCAGAAATGAACTAAATCATACAACACCCTGACTGCTGTACGGGGAGAACCCCACATCACCCGGTGTCGGAAGTACTGAGAGTGAGTCTGACTAAAGTAGGAGAAATCTGTCGGTTCCCCACTGGGTCTGGCACCACCCTGTGAAGGACCCTAAACACAAAGACTGCTATTTCAGGACAGCAGTGGCAAGTCAAATACTAATTCTGCAGTAAAAATCATAGCATCTACAAAGAAAAGTGCTCCACTGCAGAGTTTGGAGGTAACTGAGAGGAATCTGCAACCGACTTTCGAAGGAACCCAAATAACTTCCCAGGCAACACCGTAGATTGCAGGCTAAGAAACACTAGTAAAGCACTGCAGGACACCAAAACAGTAAATCACACTAATGGATTTTCCTATGAAGGCAAAGCAAACTAAAAAGAGAAATTATATAACTCAAACATCCTCAACTCTGAAGAACTTTCTAAAAATATACTTCCTAAAATCCAGGACTCATAATATTGAAATTTCTGAGATTCAGATCCTAACATTAAAATTTCCTCCAGATTCCCAGATGATTTTTACATGCATCCAAGCATGAGCCCTACTGGTATAAATACAAGGTAAAGGAGGAAAAGGAAAAAAGCAAATAGATCACCAGAAAGTTGTGTTATTCAAGATGACCAATTTCTAAATTTAAATGGTCTCATTTTCCATTTAAACTGTACTTGTTAATTTCATAGTACCCCCTACTGGTCAGGAAAGGAATCTATTATTCCCAGAACCAAGGCACAGCAATCCCCAACTTATTTGAAGTATAGTACATTTAAAAACAATCAGTGAGTGAGCTTTTGCTGTTTTTTCTCATCTAAGTATAAAGTGAGTTAGCAAATACTGTGTCAGCAAAGCCAATGTTAAGCTTAATCACAATAGCCAGAGATTTTCCTTTTAAATAGCATTTGACTTATTCTAAGATTCAACTTGGCATTCCCATTTTGAACTAAATCTTTGTTGCACAGAGCAAACTGTAGATGTAGATCTACAATATTCATTAGTAATATTTTTAAGATGTAAGGGCTACTGTTTCAATATAAATGATGAGTTTTAAAAATCATTTCCCTTTAGTGTCTTCACTTCACTGTTAGGTGGTAACACATCACTGCCCGTACACTGTAGGATGTTCAGCTGTATTCCTGGCTTCTACCCACTGGATGACAGCAGCAACCCACCCCTATAGCTGTGACACCCAAAATGTCTCTAGACATGGTCAAAGGTTGTAAATCAATAACTTACCAAATAAAAACCTGCCTTAAAATTACCATCAAAATATACCTCAGAAGTAGTGAAAGATGATCCATTCACTAATGTTCTAAAAAAATCTTTAATTTTTATATACCAGTTTCATAAAGAATACAAGAAAAATCATGGTAAACATTCATTTAAATAATTATGGAATTTGTTTATGGATGCATAGTATGTATATGAATATCTGAATAATTTTTAAAATTTAAGTATCTTGTGATATACAAACTAAGAATAAGGAAAAGTGAGTTTAACAGTATTGCCTGATAATAAATTAAGTACATATTAAGTCTATGAAATACAACCATTAAATCTGTATCTGCTGGTGGCTTTTTCACTTTAAAGACCAAAATCGAAGCTTTTCAACATGACAGGACCAAAGTAGAGCTATAATTGTATATAGCATCAATAGAGCAAATACTGTTCTTACAAGCTATACCGAAACACAACACACATCTATTATACTCCATTTTAAGTGTTGCCACTAAAATCAATTACAGTGGCACCTCAGTTGATAAACTTAATTTGTTTTATAATTTTGGGGATGATGGCCACGGTCATGTTTGTCACCTGTTCGCAAACAGACGCAAAACTTGCCAAACACTTTTGTTTGCAAATCAAACTGCTTACAAACAGAAGCGTTCAGGAACTGCGGTGTTCCTGCACACATGTTTATTCTGAAAGATGCTACCATGAAGTGTGCAGGGTTAAACGCTGATAACAGTCATTTGAAATTAAACTGACGGGATACCTAGATAGTAGATTGAGCTGGAACCTGTGCGCAATTCTCTAATATTCACTGGAAATACTTTTTGAAGACAGGAAAGGCCATTGTTTCACTACAAATTAGGAGCTTTAAAATCATCTCCCATTAGTGCTTTCAACTGTCGCAGAGCCATAAACCAAAGACTCAAATAATTTCAAATCATCATTGATATTGTTAGGCAAAAATTCTCGTATGTCAGTACTTTTAATGTCGTACACATCAAATTACAACAAAAGACAACTAGAACAAGATGCAGCCCCTCTGGTTCATGAGCAGCACACATATCACAGTAAACCCAGTTTGTATTCCACCATCAAGTGTGGTTCCCCCATGAGCTCACTTTGAGATGGATCTGCAAAGAAACAAGAAAACATTTTAGAAGATTCTCACAGGAAAAAAAAAAAAAATTAAACGATTCCACTTACATGAAAGTCTGGAGGAGTCAAAAGTAATCTAAAGTGACAGAAAACAGACCAGTTGCCTGGGGCTAGAGCTGGGGGTCTCAGTGTAAAGGGGCCAAGGAAAGCATTCTCAATCCTGACTGAGAGGACCCAGACTCATGCATTCATTAGAACTCATAGAACTATACAACTAAAATGGGTGCGGCACATACCCTGTTAATGATGTCTTATTTATTTATTTATTTTTTTGGTTTTTTTCTCCGGTACCGGGAACCGAACTCACGACCTTGCGCTTGCCAGGCAGGCGCTTTTGCCGCTGAGCTAAATCCCCAGCCCCAATGATGTCTTAATATAGTTATTTTAAAAGAAAAAAAAAAAAAACAGACTGAAAAAGTTCTTTTTCAAGATTGTGAACTTTTCCAATGGCTTCTCAGATGACTTTGGGAATAATCTCAATCTGTACTGTAAAAGTGTTTTATCTGTGTAATTGAACACTTTGTTGCATACACACAAACATAAATCAGAACTCTACAAGAAGAAACCTTAAAGATTTTCACTCCCTCATGTTTATAGATGAGTCAGATAAAGTCTTACTTGAACTGTGAGAACACACTTAAAAGTTTTCAAAATTACTATCAACACAGAGTTCCCTGAAGACAAAGCCTTTGCCTTCTACTCAACAGAGAAACAGTAAAACTGGTCTAGAAACAGAATAAAACCAAATGAATTTGTAAAAATGAATCTACATTACAAAAGTGACTACCAAGAGTAACGGTTCAATACAGCCAATATGTATGCTTTCTCTCTAGATCTGCTCAGAAATTGTTGGAAATTATTGTCACAACAGTTCAGCAGTTGGTATGCTCCACGTCACCCCACAATGTAGCCTGAACAACAACTGATGGTGCCATAATTATAGTAACAAACTGCTGTGTATGTAACACGCATCCAGAACCTAAACTTTAAAAAAGACGCCCACATAAGTACAAAGGATAAGCAAAGACACACAGGAACGCTCTGTCAACAAGAAAAAAATTAAGACCCATCAATACACACGTATCATACACAGATATGCAGTGTGATACTAATTGTGCTAAAAAACAAACACAAAGCAATGCCAAATGTCTTCTGACTATATTTTGTACAAAGACAACTGGCAAAGAGTTTGGAACAGCACACAGCAAGTAACTGAGGGAATGAAGGACAGAAACGGGAATGGGGTACTAAGTTTTAGTGGTAAAGTTAGACTTCTCAGCAGGGCTTATACTTATTTAACTACAACTTTCTTTTAAACTCTATTTTTTTAAGCTTCTGACTTTGTAAAGACTGTGTTACCAAATGTACCAAGACAGTACAACAAACAACCAAGGCACGCAGATTGCAGGTCTAGTTATCAGTTTTGCCCCAAGTTCACAGGACACTGGGGGTGGACCAAGTCCCTCTGTGAACTTCATTTTACTTCTCTTAAAGTGGTAAGACTGGAGTAGTGAAAAGTACCTTCCAGCACAAAGAAAAAGCCTACTTTTGACTTTCTAGTGCCCTCTTTACCGAATGTGTGGAATTTTCTTGGCCAAGCACTTTACTACAGAGCAAGCAAAAACTATCATGCCCAAAAATTTATACAGCGCTCAGACGCAACGGGGAAACCACTCAAGTGCAGTGCAGCAGGTCCGAAAGTCATCTACCCGCGCGCGCGGCGCCTCTCCAGCTAGTATCTACTTCACAGAGATCCAAGGAATGAATACCAAAAGATATTACAAGGTAGCTACTGGTTTTTTAAACATGAAATTACATCACATGACATTTCTTCTTAAAACCATTCAGTGGCATTTTTAATAAACTCCAGGCTTCTATTTGTGGTCTACTAGCCCTGGTGTCTCTGTTTTCTGTCTAGCTTTTCAATGTCATCCTATTCCACTCTCCACTTTGCTCAGAACACTCCAGCCAGAAGACACCTGTTAAAGTGTTCTCTTCTGTGCCGGAAACGATTCTCAATTGTTGTCACAATTCTACAACTTCTGGGAGCAGAGACACTGCTTTTGCTCTGGACTATCTGTCTATGGCTGTTTTATTATTTTAACATATTAAAAACTTTTACTTTAACATCTAATACATCCGATTTGAAGGGGCATTGCACAAAAAAAGAAACACATTTAGTATAAAATGTATTACCTTTATGTACACCCTTCCCCCATCAGCCCCCACCCCACCTCATGAGCTGCCTTCTGTCTGGATGCAGAAACATACACACATTAGTGGCACAAATTAGTTTTACCTACAGGAACCAAGGCCGTTTCTAAAGCAAACAGCCTCTGAAAACAGGAGCACAGGACAGGCCAATTTACTGCCCATCCTAAAATTTAGGTCCCCCTGAACATGGAACTCCTCTCCTGAAACAAAATATACCATATAACCACACAGCGCCTGACCCTCGTCTGCTGGTGTCTTGTAGGAGAAGTGGTTCATGGGATCAAGAGAAATGTTAGTACTCTCTGCTTACTCAGATTGCTGTGAGTGGTGAAAAGTCCTTGTCTCCAGGAATCTTTTATCTTCTACCAGCATCCAAGAAGCCACGGCAGGCTAACTTGTTACTTTGTAAGTAAGTTGTTTTCTAACCTTTACAGTTCTTTAGCCCTTAGCTTATAGGCAGATAATGATGAAACAAACCTTCCTTCTACTTTTACTTAAACTAATTCATGTATATTTCAGGAATCGATTTATATGTGTCCTATTCCCAGAGGCACCTACCTTTCCTAACCCAACATCTCTTTATTCGCCCATATTATCACAATTTATGGTTTTTCTCTGTTTAACATTTGCCTCTACCACTAGAAAGCAGATGTTTATTTTGCTTACCACTGTATATTCAGAGCCTAACCCAGTGCTTAACACATATTTGACTGAATAAATGCTCAAAAGCATCCTCTTTTCTTTACCCAGAATTATAAAAAGGGATTTTTAAATAAATGTGTTTTTATAACTAAATAAAAGTTAAGAATATGTAGGCCTAACTATCACCTTACTCCTTTGAAATGAGCTTGGGAATCTCAGGTTTTCCTGAATTTGAGACGTTCCCTCAGGAAAGATTCCCAAGCAGGCTCACTATACTTCCGCTGTGTCCACAGCATTTCCCTACCGGACGCAGGCAGCCAAGCAAACTAATAAAACCTAATCCTGTTGGCTTTTTGTGTTTCTCCTGCACTGTTGGGCTTAACGAGCAGAGGCAGTATTGCCCATGATTGTATCTGTTTATCTTCCTCAGGTCCAGAAATAACAGAGAATGCTGCATGCATTGTTCTGATTTAAAAGTCACTTACTTCACGTACAATTATTGAGGGAATTTTGTTAAGAATGACAGGTTACACTTTCCCACTCATCATTTATAACAGCTCAAAAACCATTCTGAGAGGGCAACTTTTTAAAGAACACATTAATCTTATTGCTTCCAGTCATTTTAAACACTTGTCCCACAGATGCTGTGAATAGTGAAACAGTTATTTTGTAAGCCGCTCTAGGAATGGTGTAGCGGACTGACACATCAGACTTGGTGCTCAGGATATCGACTAAATGACTACTCTGACTTGAATGAAAGGTTTATAGTCTCAGAACTGCTCATACATAATCTTCAGTTTTAAAAAGTTAAAAAAGTTACCACATTAAGTTTTACCCCACCACTGTGAATAAAGACTAAGTGAGTCCAACCGGCTCTAAGTCCCACAAGGACAAGGACCGTTCTGCTTGCTCCTGTCACCCTGTGTACTGAAGGGCGTGGTACAAAGGCGCTGAGTGGCACTTACCATTGAGAATATCTTCAAATCCGATAGTCTCATCATTACCCCTCAAAATATCCAGTGAAAGGTTGGAGCTAGAAAGAAAGGGAAGACGCTGGACCTTTGAGAAAACAAGAAAGGGCAAGATTAGAAAAAATCAAAATGAGGGGAAGAAAAGTAAAAAGGCTTGAGATGCCATGTGCGTATGTACCAATTTGCCAAGATGAAGGCAATTACTACGTGTCACAAATAAATACCAGCATTAAAGCACCCAAGATATATCATCTAACTTCATGCTTTTCCACTCCTTACTTGAAAAATTCACAAAAACGAATGAAATGGCAATTTAACCAGCAGGGGGTTTGGGGGGACTGTGGGTGATACCAGTTCATGTTTTAGATACAAACCAAGTTTTAAAAAGCTTCTCAAAATGTTTTTCAAAATATATTAAAACACTGAAATTGTCACTCACACGGCATATCTATTTTTTTCCAAATATTAAATAAATATACCACAGACTGGGTCCTAAGCATACAGTAGAGTGGACAAAACAGGTTATGAAGACAGACTGATCTGGATTCAAATTTAACAATCACATGGCTTACGTACGCAATCTGACCTATCCTTGCCTCGGTTTGTTCATCTGTAAAATCTGGATACTACAACCTTTGTCAGGGCTATAGTATGGTATGGTGTAAAGTATGTATAGGATAATCATTGGCATATAGCTGGTATTCAATAAACTTTAACGTAGCCAAACTATATTTTCAGTCTTTCTGTTCTTTGGTGGTTTTCCAGTAGTTATAAATGAAGTCAATGAAAATAATTTTGGGTATTGCCAGAGAGTAGCAAGAGTCATTGGTAGTCAGTAAGTAAACGGCAATAGGATTTTAAAAATACTACTACTGAGAATTTAAAACAGCAGTAAGATTCCACCTTCCTGCTGCCAAAATGTATCCAACCTAAGATTTTCAATTTCTAGTGGCCTATACAATTGCAGCCCCTTTTTTTCGGCGGCGGGGGGCGGTCTTTTTGAGACAGGGTCTCACTATGTGCAGGTCATACAGGCTGGCCTCAAACTCACAGTGATCCTCTAGCCTCAGGGTCCTCAGTGCTGGGATTATAGGCGTGTGCCGCCAGGCCCAGCAAGTTATAGTACTTAAATCTTCATAGTATGAAAAAAATTTCTCTTGACTAACAAAAAATATAAATCACTAAGGAAGTAGGTAGAAAGAAAAAACAGAAATAGAAACAGAAGCCTATAAATTAAACCAGGCAGTAACGGGTTAGGCAGAGAGATGAGAGATACAATCTTGAGAGGGCATCAAAAGCAGGTATGAGCAGGCAGTTGTTAAATATCTTGATAAACAAGAATTGCGAAAGTAAAGGGATGAGGAAAAAAACGCTCAAAATTTTGGATTAAACAGTATACAAACCTAGGCCCAAAATATAAACAATGTGTGGCTGAATCCAAACAGACAAGCGAATCTAACAATTATATGTTAAACATGTATCACATAACTTTATCTTTAGAATAACCCTATACTGCTCTTACCACTCCCCATTTCACACTAAAAACACAAACAAAAATATCTTAGAGGTTCCGAGAGGTCTTTAACTTACTTAAGTTTTTAAGACTAGATGGTAGAGGCAAGATGCAGACTCAAGTCATTCTCAGTTGAAGCCATGTTCTCTTTAGAGCTTGAGTCATAGAAAAAGTATTCAAAGTGGCTTCCAAAATAACTGGCCAATACAGTTGTAGCAGTGCATATTTAATGAAAAATATGTAATCTGAGGTAGGTCTGAGAAAGAAACCCAGACTAGCATGGGCAAAACCAGAAGGTAAAAGAACATAATCAGAAAACTGCAGTAGTTTAGAAGGGTATGGACTATGGCAGGAAACAAGAAGCGAGTTCACAGAGCCACGTAAGGAGTAGGGTTTTTCCTGGGTGCGAAGTCAGGGAAGTGACATGCTCAGCCCCGTGGTTTACAATGGTTAGTCTGGCTGCAGTGTGAGCACTGGGGTGAAAGGGCAGCTGCGGCGAGCGGTGCAGTAATCTGGAGCAGGCAGAGTGAAGAACTAATGCAGCAGAAATGGTGAGAAGACCAAGCAATGGACTAGCTGTTTTGGTGGGGTGGGGAAAGAGTAAGGGATAAGGTACTGAGCGAGATAACCAAGGTTAACACTGCAATTTCTGCCTTAGGCAGAAACTTACTCAAACATGATAGACTGTATGAAAAATAATAAGTTCTTGTGTATTTGTACATGTGAAATTTGAGGTACTGGTGGGATTTCCAATTGGAAATGAATGTAATGTGCTTGAGAGAATTGTAACTTTGGAGTCATCAACATATAAATGGTAACTGAAGTAACAGAAGTAGGGAGGAAACTGGGTGAGAAGAGAACCTAAGTTGTAGTGTTAACATAGCTGGCATGTCAGGGAACAGACAAAACAAAAGGAATCTACAAAGAGACACCTGACTTCAGGGTGTCAGAGAAGGGAAATCAGGAAAACATGATGATCTAAAAGTCAAAGGCAAAGGAAGGAGCTCTGAGTATCAAAAACCACAAAGAGTTCAAGATAAATGAGGGCAAAGCACTGCCTAGGTTGTTTAGGAGCAGATTCCATGGTTTGATGGGAGCCAGAAAACAGCCGGTTGGATTAATAGGAGGCAGGGGAGTACAGACAGGAAACACAGGCAACATTTTCAAGAAGCTCAACTTGAGCCACGTGTGGTGGCATATGCCTGTAATCTCAGTACTTGGGAGGCTGAGGCAGGAGGAACCAATTCAGGGCCAGCCTGGGCAATTTAACAAGATCCTGTCTCAAAACAAAAGACATAACCACCACTAAAATAAAACAAAACATAACAACAACAACAAAAACGCCACTCAAACTGCAGAACAGAAGCACCCTTACTGTGACAGAATTTGCTAGAGATGTGGACGTGAGAGAATGTGAATGTGGCAGACGAGAAAGAGAAAGAGAGACTGAAGTTGTCAGCTATGGATAGGATTATTGATAAGCAGCATTCTTTGAAGCAGTGTTGCATGACAGATTCCAAAGCATGGGGTGAAGAGTCTTAAACACTTGGAAGGACATCTGTGAAGTCCTGATTACTCCTTAGCAACAGGTACACCAAGCTATACATAAAATGCACCTCAAAGCCACCATCAGATATTTGTTATGGTTTGTGTCTGGATGCCCCTCTAAGGCCATGGGGCCCGTTTCTAGAGTTTTAGACTGATTCATGGTCCAATGCTGGGATTCTGGGTGTGACAGCTACACCCACGTTGGGGTGGGGAGTCTGCATACAATGTAAGGGAGGGAAAGTGGCTGCTCTCTTGTACTCCTCCCGTTTTGCTCTTGTTGCTTTTGCTGTATTTTGCCACCATGAACTGTGCTCCTCTGCCATGTGCCACTCTTCCTTGGAGCCCGCTGATTATGGACTGAAACCTC